TTGTTCCTTGTGTTCAATTTTAGATCAAATAAAGTATGGCAACCCAGGAGTTGCTAACAATTATTACCTTCTCTATCACTGACTACACCTCCATCCATCGCTATGCCATACATGGATTTGATGGACTGACATACCAAGCAAGGTAAATATTGCAGGCTACATGGTATATGTTCAGTTTATTATTATGTCATATTAGGACTGTTGGACATTATTTTTTTATTCAGTAATTCCCCTATATAGGAATGTGATAAAATTCGATGTTAAGCCCCAAGTAAAGATTTCACAAAATCAATGGAAATAACGCTGTACCTCGACTGGTTTCAATCCTGGAGGAGCCGTGTATGGCAAAATTATATGCATTATCATTTCATTTTTGTTGATTCTTGTTCGATGGTGTTTTGGTGCCAGAAGATAATTGATACTAATTATTGGCCCACGTACTGAAGACACATAACATCCCAGATAATAGCAACAAGTGTTGGGAATGCGGATAAGTCGACAGGACATGGTCGCTTAAATGAGGCAGCTTCCTGGTCTGCACGGAAAAATAACCAGGACCAAATGCATTTGGCAAGAAAGATGTTTGTCGGAGCGATTTCACTCAAAGTCGTCGTGATTATAATTAGTGAGTGAAGACCTATTCTGTGTCCTGTAGTTCCGACGGGCAAAAATTCGATCATTACAAAATAAATGGACTAGTCAGGGTTAGCTGGATTAATAAGCAAGGCTTCTACAGATTGCCCTGTCACGTTATATGCATCACATCATTTCCATGCGGTCATATATAACTTTTAATGTGTGATTAAGATTAATTGTTTAACAAATTATTCATTTCATTAGAGACTCGCTGGTGGAAAATGTCCTATCACCAACTGTAACCGCGCTTTACATCCGCATTCATCCAAAGACATGGTATGCAACATATCTTTGAGAATTGAAGTTTATAGCTGTTTTTCAGGTATGTTCTAGCAATTCACTGAAATACTATTTGTTCATTAAGGAATGAGAAATGACTGAGAGATCCATCTGACTGAAATATATAGCGAAAATTTTTCAATAAGTGGCTTATGTAAGAGCGAGTTTTTGATTTAGAAATAAATTCTTTACACCCTACCAGCGGGTTTGTCAGGTTTTTTACTAACTTACAGTACTGCTCAGAAATAACCTAATCAAAAACGCGTTCCGAACGCGTTCCCGAACGCGTTCCGGACGCGTTCGAGGACGCGTTCCGAACGCGTTCCAGAACGCGTTCCAAACGCGTTCCAGAACGCGTTTCAATCGCGTTCCAGAACGCGTTCCGAACGCGTCCTCGAATGCGTCCGGAACGCGTTCCAGCACGCATTCGATATTCATCGGCTATCGACTCCGGATCTTGTCGTCAATACCCGGATATTCCCGATTTAGTTTAATCACACTGTGGTTTAATCTATGCTTTATAAATGGCGAAGCTCTCAGTGTACGCTAGAAAAAGGGTTATTTATTTAAAATCCACTGGAAATACACACAAAAAAATACAAGAAATTCTTCTTGAGGAAGGAATTAAAACCTCAACGTCGGCTATTTCTCTGTTTCTCTCGCGATATCGAAAGACGGGTAGCCTCGTGGACGGTGCTCGGAGTGGTCGAAAGCCGAAACTAAGCGAGGAGCATGGCAATTTTATAGATGAAAAAATGAAAGAAAATGACGAGTTAACATCCCGTGAGTTAAAAGAAAATTCATTCACAAAATACAAAAAAAAATTCATTCACAAAATACAAAAATGGACTTCGATACAGTTTGAATGCTGCTGTGTTGTCACCGACAAGGAATGAAGTGCAGGTATGAACAAACATGCAATTGTTAACTGAAATAGCTTAGCTGAGAGCACGGGTCGATCATTATAATTCAGATCTTCGTTTCACAATATCAAAACCTCAATTGTTTTACATGTACGGCACAGTAATATGAATAAAATTCGAAATACGGTAATTACCGTGACTACTGTATACACTGTTTAAATGTATACTAACTGAAAACTAAAAACAATGGTTTATTAACTACCGAAAGTTTCTTTGAACAAAGACGGCGATAAGAGTCATCTAGCTAATTTTAACCGCGTTTTCCCTGTCAAATACTGGCTTTGGTTAAGCATAGCATATCCTAAGGCCATCAAGTCCAAATTTCTCAAGATGCTACATACATATTAGTATCATTTTCGAATGAGATACACAAGTCACACACTTGCTTATTTTTACGCGAAATAAAATAGCGCTTGTCCCGCATACTAAAACCGGAATTAACGAACCGTAGCATAAGCATATTGACTAGCTGTTCGATAATTTATTCGGAATTTCCGAAGGCACACGAAGCGTCTAAGTGAAAACACTGGAACGCGTTCGGAACGCGTTCGGGAACGCGTTCGGAACGCGTTCGGAACGCGTTCGGAACGCGTTCGAGAACGCGTTCTGAACGCGTTCGGGAACGCATTCTGAACGCGTTCGTCACATTAGGTTACTTCTGAGCAGTACTGTAGGTGCATTGGAATACAAGTAAAAATAAGGCGTGTTTTAGAAGTTATACCTGGACGAGGAATCCAGCATATCATTATGAGGAACAAAGCTATTATAGCGGTATATACTCAGGGCTATCACAATCAAGTTTAGTGTTATCGCTTTATTTCAATGTTTGCTGCACGGTCGGATTCTCACAATTAAAGAAAATCAAGCGAAAAGTTTCACACGTACAAAAGTATAGGTATGGAACTGGGGCCGGTTGTTCGAAAGATGGATAACTTATCCAACGGATAAGTCCTATCCAACGGATAAATCTGGATAGTTATCCATTGGATAAAAACGCGTTGCAGGAAGCGTGGATAGTGAAGTGGATAGCTATCCAATATAAGTTAAAATTTACCAGAAGAAAACAGGATTATTCTGAAATTTCGTACCACAACGTCAGCTGTTGCTAAGCATTTACAACATTGAATTCATAATCATTACGAATTCTCGAGTATAGTTACTGAATGGAAAAGACTTGAACAAGTGATTTGCTCGAACTTTGCACTTCACATCATAGTGATTTTATTAATTAAACACATTGCAATTTTATTCCTTGACCTTGCAACGCTTTGCCTTTCGGTCCCATAGCAAATTTAGAAACACTATTTTAATGTTCGTGAATGAAATTACTTAGATATTAGCAAGTTTCCTTGGAATAGGTTGAATCTTTCTTTGCATATTCGCGTTTATAAACTGATTAGAAGCGTATAGTAAATTTACCACCTGTTATAAATGCGAGGATGTCCAAAAAATCGCCGGTCGAACGGAATGTGTAGGCAACGTGAAACGCTGCTGCGACAAATTGCACTTCGAAAACATTTTTAATATATAGTGAATACAATCATGATGTGTATTAGTTTGTTGAAACACAGTAAGAGGAATATTGCATTTTTGTCCTATTTTATATAAATGTTTACAGTGTTACCTTGTATCTTTGAATTTATCCACTGGATAGTGGATTTAAACCACCTCCGGACCTTGGATAAATTTATCCGGTAGATAGCGATTTTTATCCTCTGGTTAAAGTTATACAAGCTTCGTGCAACCCAAATCACACGCTGGATAAAACTTATCCGTTGGATAGTGAGTTATCCGTTGGATAGCGACTTATCCACCTTTCGAACAACCGGCCCCTGTTCTTTTATTTATCGGAATAACTAGTGATGTGATCTTACATGAAGCATTTTCAGTCATGCTGCTAAACTGTCGTGCTGGCTTCGCCACTGAGTATTTTATTTGCTCGCAGAGCCTCGTCTGCCGAACGTGACCGTCGGCCAGTCTTCACCATGTACGGTGACAGTTATTTTCTGCCTTTTAACTTGCCGACATGCAATGTTTCATTGCACGGTGAGTTTTCAACTTTACTGAAGGCGCTACTATACAATATGCAATTTTCCTTACAACTTGCAATGCAATTATAATTCCGAAGGATGTTAATTTGTAAAGAGTGTTCGAAATACTAAGGAAACGTTAGCAGATCGTAATAGATGTTCGTATTTGACAACTTTAGATGCCTCAGGAGTAGAATGGTTTTGCAATTTGCAAGGAAAGTTGCGTAGTGTAACAGCGCCTTGAGATTGTTTCGGAAAGCTGGTTAAATTTCGATGTAACTTGCAAACATGTAATGTTTCATTGCAATTGCGAGTTGAAAATAAGGGTCATTGGACGGAAGAACGGGACAAGTATCGTAGTTTTCAACATACCTTTTATAAGGGCGGAGACATTGATCTTCCATCCACGGTCGGTTTTATCATTTTTTCTGCTTTTTCTATCATTTCTTTATCCTACAAAAGACAAAAAAACTTGTTAAATCGTGGATCAATCTAACACTTTTAAAAGCTTTTCTCCTAACTGAACTAATTTTATTCATACCGTATAGTTCTATCAGTTCTAAATTGTCCTTCATGGAGGTCCAGTAGGGGTCATCCCGTATTGATGCAGTGTTACTACAGGAGGAAACCTGAACTAAACTGACTTTATTTATGCTGGATAGGTGTATCAGTTCTAAACTTCAACCAAACTAATTCTAACAATTCGAAAAAGCTGGGACTTCAGACGAAAAAGGTCAGCCGATTTTGAAAAATCTTAGATGCGGGGTGTTATAAGGCGGTTAGTAATTTCATCATCACCTTCATCCAAGGATGTTCCAGAGCTTCTGAAACCGTGATGCATTTTCTGTGACCAACAGTAAGCAGTTTTGTTATAAGATCCTTAGCTTCACTGCTAACATTCTTCCATAGGTTGTTCGGAAATTTATACGACCCTTCTTTGACTTGTTTCTCCAATGGGTTATTTGCCTGCTTTGAAAATAAAGAAGATCCGAAAAGTCTAAAACGTTAACTTTTCATTGACGTACTCCAATTTTGAAATGAGGTTAAGCTACCTCCAGCTTCATTACAAATCGTGTTCACTACGTGAATTTGAGTAAACTGAAGTATATGGCATACCAAACATAGTATAACTCCCAGGCTCCAGCAGTCACACGATTTCTTGTAGGATCGTTCTTCAGGCTACGGGATTAACATTTTGGTAGCGAGGTAACTTGGTGTACCACAGAGTGTTTCCATATAGGAATTCTGATCTAAAAAATTAATTGTTATCATTGAGATCTGTAACAATGAGAAATAACTGAACCTAAAACGTTTGCAGAATGCGCTCTGCTTTCGTAAAACGAAATCACGGACAAAAATCGGAATTGAGATTATAGTGACTTCCAGGATTTGCTGGCAATGGTCACATCGAATGGTTTCTTCAAAGACAATTTAAAGGGCAATTTAAACACAAGTTCAATACACAACCGACAAAAACCTTTATAAGCGTTTCATCATACGAGGAACACAATAAAACATTTTCTGGCTAGAGAAGAAAAAGTTAAATTATGGTCGTTAAAGTTTAGGATATAAAGACAGTAGTGAAAAAAATTAGGGCGTGCTTACCTTCCAATCCCTGTTAGTGATGCCATTTTCATGTAAATGCTAAAAATACGAAACAGTATGAATAAAGTTAGTTTAGTTCAGGCTCCTGCAGTAACACTGGATCAATAACAGATGATCCTTAGCTTGGTGTCATTAAAAGCTCCAATCTCTTCGTGATATTTTCCATAAACTTTAGTCATCGCCTGTGAATGAAATATTCCAATTTGTTTAATTAATTCTTCGAAGGCTACACATGGCTACATTCGCACTAAACGACATCCTCACCTGAAGGCACATTGCTTTCATAGTTGGTTTAGTTGTCAATAGGAATCAGTGATACAGATCGTTAGACAACTCGAGCCTGAAAACAAAATAGAAAAGTCGATCGAATCTTGAATGGTTTCATCCATGATTCTATACTTCTCTACTACATTCTGCAGGACAAATAACATTGCGTGAACTGTGCAGCAATATAGAGAATAGGGGGAAGCCAGACAGAAAAGCACATGGAAAGTAGTTTGAATATTTGCAAACCCTGATAGATAAATGTCGTGGACTCACACATTTGTTATCGGCGTCTCCTCGTCGTTTTGTTCCAACAAGACTCTCAAATAATAGTCACCTGATAGCAGAGATACGTTACTGAGTTTGATTCCTATCGAGGAATAAGGGGGGGACGCTTTATGAAGAACTGTTAAAAAGCTAGAGCAGTTAGGCTTATCACTAACCTGTTTCAGTTCATCAGCTAAACATTCATACAGGACTTCAAACTAAAGGTGATTCCAAAAGACAACGTAGTTTCCACTCAGATCTTTTTCCATTGCAAATGCGTGCAAATCAGATTTCGAGTGCCCCAGAAGTTCCTCTCGCGTCTGTCACATTGAAAACATAAGAAATTGTTTCATACTCTTTTACGAGAACAGTTTAGAGAAAGAGGTCAGGACTATTGAATTTGTCTTGTTATACTCATAGCGACAGGAAATCCTCCATTACATTTCCATATCCTATATTTTCAACGGAAACTAACCTTAACTTCGAGACTCACCTTGTAATTCCAAATCAGGTTGTACGCTGTCAGATCTTGACTGAATCTGTAAAAAAGATCCGCTTAAATATCATTGCTTTTTCATCTTTCAAACGACTAAACATTTTCCCATTTTCTTAATACGAACACTTACTTGTAATAAAAAACTGGATTTAAATTCTCACATCTTTCCTGGATTTGAATCTTATTTTTGTCCTCGAATGCGAGAGATATCCTTCAAGTTGATTCCTCAACGTTCCCCTCGTTTTTCCAGAGCTCTAAGACACAAGTATAGCACGTGAAATAACAGGCTTATACGTACATACAAGCATGCATTATGAAATTTTGGAACACGATTGTTGATTTAAAACGTACTTCTGCAAGCTTTACATTGTCACGAATTGATAAACGATCTTCTTCAGTCTCTGGTGGCTGAAGGAAAGATAAAAACTTTCTAACAAAATTGTTTCTTTACAAAAAGGTTTTACACTTCTGAATGAATTACCATTTAATTATTTCCTCAGTGGGGCAGTTGGCACAGTTTAAGGATGAATGATGGAGTTTAGTTACCAAAGCAGTTGATACCACTTAGTCATGAATACGATTGGTTAGTCAGAATCACCTCAATGGGTTTATGTAAATAATGGCCCTCGCAAAAAAGTTTTCAAAGATTTCTTACTTCGTCAGGGCTTTCAAGGTAATAGAGCAAACCAGCAGGCTGTGAAAATCGTATTCAAATTTATTACATAATTGTTTATGAACCAAAAATTATGAACAAGAAATCTCGCATTTAAACTTTCTTGTATATTTTAGACATTAAAAACTATAACTACTTTAATACGAACATTATTCTCGCAAGTAATGCCATTGCTGTTGGATGATGCTATGCCAACAATAATGATTAAAAAATACTTATGGAGTATGCTTGTTAGTCTCAATTGAACTATTTACAGATAGCTAGTATATAGAGGATTATAAAATCACAAGTTTTAAGATGAATCTGAGAATGTTGCTAAAATACAACTCTGGTCCTGCGGATGGAATAGAGGCTATACCTCTGCAACAATTTGTTAATTTATCACACTAATTCGCACCTGTTCAATAGCGAACGTTTATCAGTGCTTTGCGTAAACATGGCCATGCGTAAGCGTTTTGGTAGAGCGCTCTCGGCAAGCGCCAGAACTTGTTTTTTGCCGCGGTTTCTTCATCAGCTTCCTAAAGTGAAGTTCTAACTAAATATTAACAGATGATTTTAGGCACTTCACACGATGCAGGAATATTCTTGAGGTTTTAAAGGGTCTTAATTTCGAGTGGTATTATACGCACTTCAAATTCAAGCAGGGAACAGTTGATGGAAAATGAGTCAACTGTACGTCTTCAGTGACAAGAGCATTGCACCGGCATCGCAAAAGCGTAGGTTCGATTCCTGCCGGAGGATCTATAGTTAACTCATTTTTCCGTCATCTGTTCCTGGCTTGATTTGAAGTGTGTATAATACCTCTCAAAATTAAGACCCTTTAAAACCTCTTTAATATCAACTGAACTAATATGTACATTCATCACAGCTAAAAAAATGCAGAGCGTTATAAATGACGTTCGTCAAAGGCAGAAAATTCTCAATGGATGAATGAATGAATAAAACGTACCTCGATTATCGCCTTCAGAACCATGCCAGCACTTTCACAATTGTTGTCGACGGATGCTGAAATTGTTGAGGAACGAATTCAAAACCACGATTGGTAAGAACCATTAGCGGGGCAATAGTAAAACATACATAAGCGAAGAAATGGTAAAATTGGTACTATTATTTAGTTTTGTCGTAAACCTACCTGGAACAATCGATAAATGCAATGACCCATTTCTAGAAAAAACAAATAACAGACTTCATGAGTTGCTCCTATGCATGGGTCAAGCTAGTGGACGTGGTAAACTTCACCAAAAAGGTAAAGAGAGAAAGGCTATTTAATCAACTCTCAACCTCAGTAAAAGAGCCATAAACTACCAAGAAGACAAGTTGAATGAAAAGCTCCTCAAATTTCTTTGTAGCATACCTGCAACTTTCTCCAGTAATTTCCCAAACTGTTCATCATCTGTTGTCTCACTAAGAGGAATATGCAATAGTCGATTTATTGTAACAGACTACATGAGTTGATTCAAAATATTGGAAGCAATCACACCTTACTATTAGTTTAACATGAATGTCCAACTTCACCCCGTATTCTTTTAATATATTGCAAAGCAACTAGAACAAACCTGTAAGGAGGACACAGAGCAAACGTCAGAAATCAAGCAATCCACTTATAACTAAAACCCCAGTAGAACGAATATAGAAGAAAAGTTTTCATGGTTAATCTATTTCTTGTGTTTAGTTAGAAAGGTAGTTCAAATTAGAAAGGCAGTTGCTACGAATCACTTGCTGGGTTTTGCAAGGGAATTTCTCTTCCAAAACAAAGCTATATACATACAAGAGGGATGGAAAAATAAAATGCAAGGGTTCAGCATAGATTATAGGCAACCAACACCGCACATCTTACAACATTTATCGTGAGAATTTCCAACAAACTGCTTAGAAATTTTTCAAAGGATAACAAAGAGCTTTTATTTACCTGTTCTTGTCGAATGTCATAGTTATCGTGCGTTGGCTATATAAAAAACAGAATTGGTTTCGATAAAATTGGATCCTGTTAACATTCAGATTTCAAAGTTGGCTAAGTTTATGTGGATTGCAAGTTAAAGGGGTAACACTAATGACAGTGACAGATTTGGCAACATTTACCAGGAAATTCATCGTTAAAGTGTTGGCGCTTTCCTTTATACGGAAAAAACGGCCAGACCGGTCCTATTGTTGATCTCGGTACAGACAGATTACTGGTATTTTAGAGTGTTTCAAGAACTCTGCGTTCAAGTATATCGTTACTTGCATCTGTCTAGCTCGGAAATTTCGCAACTATATTCTTAACGAAATACTCTATCTTAAATTTAAATATGACCGGTCTGACCATTTTGGCCGCTTAAAGGAAAGCCCTCTCTTTACCTGCATCAGAGCACACAGTATGTCGACAGCGGCGTGAGTCACGGCTTCATTATTCCTCTTCAAAGCTTTCACAGTTTTCACACCAACCTTCTCATAGAAGCTGTAAAAACAAAACAGAAACACGGTCTAGAGAAATGAGCTGGTTGAGTAAACAGCGTGTGTTATGGTTAAAGATAAACGTTTCTCACCTACTGAGCGTTGTGAAACCTGCTTTGGATCCAACCTAATGTCTCAAAGCGTGAAACAGTGCTTCGAGATCTTTATCTGATATTTTGTTTTGGTCTCCTGCAAATAGACGAAACATTTTAACTATTTTATGTATATATTGAATACCTGTGAAGGTAATAGCAGTCAGAATATGTATATTTTAGGGGTGAACACTAAATATATTTATTGGCAAAGATATACAATACCTTCGTGAGCAATGAGCATTGTGATGGCATTAATGATAAGTCTTTCTTTATTCTCCGGGAAAAGTCCTTACAAAATATTTAAAATCGTTTAAAATATATATTGGAGTTTAAAAGACTTAATATTCCAGCCGTACTTCTGGCGAGAAAAATTCAAATCTACCATTTCATGGATTCGGACCCAGTCAACTCAGCAACCAGAGTTACCGCAGCGTAGTCCCTAGGCCTCTTAACGTTCTTTATACGCGGCGAGCCGGGAACTGAGAGGCCAAGAACAAAATGTTTTGTATTTTATCTATTTTGTCCCACTTTCTGTATTGAGGTCAGTTTACGATCCACGACACGGTTAACTGGCCTTGTTCGACGTCGCTAGTCAAATATTTGCTTGAAATAACCTACGGGATATTAATTATACTGTCAGGACTTCGAAATATCCATACAAACGTTTCAATGTCATTTGCTGTCGACGCTATCGACTATCAAGTAAACTCGAGTCCGTGCGTACATGGTTATGATTATAATAAGCTTCAATCTGCCAATTTAAATTATTCTCGCTTCCTTTATAACGAATATTGTTGTAAATCTAGGTCAACTAATGCATACTAAAATAAGCAGAAAACTAACGTGCGTATGAAAAACACGTGAGTGGAAAACAGCCTTAATCCAGATTTTGACAGAACATTAAAACTCAGTAAAAATGCAATAATATTCTCTACACAGGATTTTGTCTGCAGAAAAGTACAAAATAAGAAATTGTCAACTTACGTCTTGGGTGACTGCATGAAGTAGACCGCTGTAGGAAATATTGCAGTTAAATCTCTACACATCTTCGGTTAAATTTCCTGCAAGGAACCAGTAATAAGACAATATAAGCTTTTGGAGATATTTCAAAAATTTAAAGTGAAATAAAAAGAGAAATATTTCACCTGGAGACGCAGCGAGGAATTTTAAATGACTGCTTTCTACTTCTTCGTCAACAACGTTATACAATGGACCCCAACGATAACCTTGAAAAATATATCATTTAAAAAAAACAATTCTTCTTTTGCTGTATGTGATGTATTGCACTGACTAATAGGAATACCTGACGAGAAGTGTAATTGTTTGTGTGTTATATGAGATCCCATACGTCAGGAGGAGAATGAAATGAGGGTTCGTATTTACGGCAATCATAGCAGTGCGAGATTTTCATCAGGAAAATTTTGACCATAATTTTCGCTCAATCATTTATGAAAAAGCGTACAGTACCGTCTCTTCGTTGGGGTCGTTTTTACACAAACATCTCCATTTCCACTGCCTCTAACCCCGTGTAGCTAACCAGCCAATGATATATCCCTAGATTGAGTGAAATACAAACATTCAGAACAAGAAATATTTTATATAGCTTCATACAAAATCTGCTTTTTTAAACTACCTGTCGGAAGACGAGTAATTTCTCAGCTGACCGCTTGTGTATTCCAGCCCGAACAACTGAGGATGGTCTCGATAGCTAATTATTGAAAATATCTGACAGAAAAAGAAGTTTTAAAACTATGATATACTATAATACACAAGTCTTAACCAAACGGTATATTCTGGAAAGTAACTGCAAAAATAAAACTATTTTAAGTCGGCTGGATACTTTTTTGCAATTGGACATGTTCAAAATGGAAACGTGAAATAAAAAAGATGATAAAAGCAGTAAACTTGAATCCAGGTCAGAAGACATGGAGTGTTTGGAGTGTTTGGAGTGTTTGGAGTGTTTAGAGTGTTTGGAGTGTTTGGAGTGTTTGGAGTGTTTGGAGTGTTTGGAGTGTTTGGAGTGTTTGGAGTGTTTGGAGTGTTTGGAGTGTTTGGAGTGTTTGGAGTGTTTGGAGTGTTTGGAGTGTTTGGAGTGTTTGGAGTGTTTGGAGTGTTTGGAGTGTTTGTTTTTTTTTCTTTCAAGGTCTGAGATGAACAATTACTGGAACTGACATGGAATGTCGCATGACTTACTGAGCTAAGGGGATGAAGGCTGACGATGTTGAACATATATTATAGTAATAATAGTTTATAGTTTATTATATATTATAGTAATAGAGTTGATGTTCGCGGGCATAAATGTGTTTTTGGCCCTCCTCGCGGAACACATTTTAACCCTCGCTACGCTCGGGCTAAAATGAGTTCGAAGTCGGGCCAAAAACACATTTATGACCGCGAACATCAACTCTATTGTTATATTATTATCACTATAACATACACATGAGTATATACAAAATTAGTAAAATACAATAATTAGTAAATACAATAATTAGTAAATACAAAATTAGTAAAATACAATAATTAGTAAATAGATTTGAATAAATATAGTTCACCTGGTGCAAGGCACTTTTTAATGATAACTCCAAGCTTATACTTTCTGGATAATTTAATACATTCTATAGGGTTTAATGATCAATATAGGGATAAGTATCATAAAATTGTTTGGCTGTTGGGGTTTATAAACTATCAAAACTACAAAATTATATCCTGTCAAAATTTCGAATTTCTAAAATAATGCCGGGTTTATGGTCATTTGAATTTGCTTGCTACTTTTATAATACGCAAAAAAGTAGACGGTAGACACTGATTTTAAGTTCAAATTTATAATATTTCAAAATATATTATGCATTATTAATTATTAACATACCTTGAATAAATTTGAAGTTTTACATGATTCAAGAACATTTTCATTTGTATACCAAACTGTTTCGCCTTTGGATTTGATTCCGTTCATTAGTCAAAGTACACTTCAAGATGTCGGGCTTCCCTTCAAAATTGTCGAGGCCAGGGATATGACGGTGCTAGTGCTGTGTCCAGCCAGGTAAAAGGTATTTCTGGGAGAATATTAGAGAAAAACCCGAAGGCGTTGCATGTTCATTACTCCAGTCATCGTTTAAACCTTATTGTTGCCAAAGCGTGTTCAATTCTTCCAGTGAAAAATATGTTGAGTCAGGCACAAAATATCGCCAGCTTTTTTATCAGTTTCCCTATCCGCTCACAGTATCTAAGTAAAAAGATGAAAGAGTTTGGTTTAACCCGTAACAAGCTCGAAAAGCCTTCCACGACACGATGGGTAGAACGAATAAGATCCCGCGATGGTTGTTTGGATGCATTCAAAGTTATCTACGAAACACTCAATTTTATGCAGTTTGGAGGATCGCAGAAGGGCCATTTCCTAGATTAGCTAGTGACGCACAGTCTCATTTTGCAACGTGGAGAAATTTGAATTTATGGCTGCTCTCATTATCACCCAACATGTTCTTGATCATACTTTGTCATTGACGGTCCAATTAAAGAAGAAAAAAAATCGATATTGCGGAATCAATAAAACGGATTAATCTTTTAAAGGATGAAATGGCAAAACTACGTGCCTCTGTAGATTTATTCCACAATGAATACTACGACAAGCTGTTGGAATTAGCTAATAACCTCGACGTGGCTGAGTGTTTTCCCCGGGTATGTAAAGCTCAAACAAAATGTGATAATCATCATACCAGTACAGCAGGTGGTTACAACAGATTAACAGTAACCATTAAGAGTCGTGCATAGGCCACGTGATAACGAAACATTCTGAGCTCATCAATGAACAATTGTAAAGGTTTTATTGTAACTCATAGGAAAACCTAATGATATTTTGTAAAATCTATTATATTACGAGTGTCTTTCCCTAAGTCTACCGACCCCTGAATTCCCCACGCTATCGTCACCCTGTAATAAATAAGTAACGTTGCAAGTCCTCACCTTCAACCACAAGGATTAATTACGTAAATCGAAGTGCAAAATTGAGATTACCGGTTTCTGAGTTTACCGGTTTATAATGCTCAGTATTTAATAATCCGTAAGACCAATTTATCATTATTATTACTTGACTTACGGATTCATTAAGTTTATCCTCGTCTTAACTCAAAAAAGTTTTCAAAGGACTTGCATCCAGAAGGGATTTACCAGGAACAGGCTAAAATTAAACAGATTGAGATTAATGCACGATGATGATTCGTGATCTTAAAATTGCTACCTTTTGAAACTCTTCACGAGTTAATAAGCCTTGACTGTTCCCTGTGAAAGAAAAATTGGTAAATATAGTCATATTATAATATATATTTCCTCCATATTGCAAAGGTAATTTCGCTTGCCTTCAGTTTCTTCCTTGTGTAAAACAGTGTCTTTGGAACCTGGTACGACATCAATCTGAAACGATTGTAAAATGAAAAAGCTAGTCTAAATCAAAGATCTCTTTCTTTTCTGCTTCCCCTGCCAGTCATGTTAGTAGCAATGTAAGGGATGGATAGTGAATGTTCTTGCACGAAATAAATTTCATGCAAAGCGAGTTTGAAGAGAAATTCTTACCATAAAAGCGCTTGGTCCATATCTCGGCCTACGACTCAAATATCGAGTTCGTTGAACAAATGCCGAACCAAGATTCAACTTTTGACCGGAATCTTGTAATAAAATCGACGAGGGTGAAGATCTGCCGTGTTCTGTAAGCAGCATCTTTTGTTCTGCGCTGTCTAAAATGCAGGCAGATAATTTGTTCATTTCGTAAATGCGCGAACAATGGCCGATCTGTTTTAACATTACAAACCTGACTCCTTGAGTTCGGTTTTCTTCATTTCAACATCATCCCGGGTATCTTCAATATTAGTTTCCTCATCTTCTCTACACGATGCGAGGCGATCTTTGACAAGATCTACAATCAATGTACGCTGTCTGTGCTCTTGCTAAGAAGTTCTGTTGTAGTTTCAAGGCGTTGTCTGGCTCCTTCTTTAATGAGTTCGGCCGATAAATCATCTGAAATACAACAATATCAATTTGACATTCCGCCAACGGAATGCCCAACCGAAACATTGAACAGGTTTGACCCATCGTTGACAAGTTGTGGGCGAAAACATTCAGAGCACAATTTGACTGAGAAAATAAATGGGCTTACCAAAGAGTTGTTTTGGAATTAAACTTTCATAAATCTCAGTCTTTCCCACCGCTGGTCGTCACAAGATGTTTGAGTCACAAGATTTCTGTACTGAGCATACGGTACCAGTAGCCTTTAAATCGCGGGTAAGAAGGTCAGATGCTTTGGTATCGAATTTTGTGTTTGGCACCTGGCTAGAATCATCTGCACGAGTTTTGCTATCAGTTGAAGAAGCCTGGAAATGACAAATAGTTCCTAAGAGCTTTCACTAGAAGAATATTAAAACTTGGTCGCTCTTGCAAATATATCTATTGAAAATTCAGCAAGCAATCCCCGTGGCAATAGAATGACATGTGGACTTACTTTCGTAATAAATGGCACGAATTGTTTTCTTAACAATAGCGGACAGTTGACAAACCAGGATGGAATGACATTATCAGCAAGAGCTACAGTGTATTGAGAGTATCTAAGGTGAAACATATCAGTTCGTTTATATTTTAATCATTTTGACAAAACCAATAATAAAAAGTTTCAGATGTTATCGCGTTGAGCCAACTTCGATGATTCTGTGTAAGGCAAACATATTCCAAAGACTTGTTTCAACTGGATCGCTGTGAAGTTTTTGTACAAAGCACAAAGCTGTTACAATGCGATTTAAACGATTTAAAAGAATGTTACCAACTTTTCGCCGAATACGATTGTGTGTTTACACAACCTAGCTCTCTTTAGGGGTACATTGATATTTTGTAACAGATTTCATAATTTACGTAACTTCAAGAAACATACCAGAGAGAAATTCTAGCAGTGGTATGGCAACTTGAGACGTTGGCGAAAGTTTAGTAAACTTTTCCAGATATTGTGGGAGCAGTCTAAGGACAGAAAATTTAGTAATTATTACTTAAAAAATCATATATTTGTGAAGGAGTATCTCGCATCACAAGAGACGTTACGTTTAGGCTGGAGTTTATTGAAAAACGTTTCTGTAAATTCACTGAGCACATTATCAAGGCACGATTTCAAATACCTCCAAAGAAATAAACTTCTAAAACGCTGCAACTACTTAAATCAACTTCATTCTTACAAAGTGCTAATGGAAATAAAAAAACGTCTCAAATTCCAGACTATTTTAAGTAGCCATACCTTGCCATAACTGAAGGCATTTCTAACATACATACGGTGAGACAAGATACGCTTAACGTCGCGAAATGAGCAACCAAGTACGCATCAGACAACACTAGACGAAATATACAACAACGTTTAAGCAAGAACAGACAACCGCTGAAAATAAAGTCACGCAGATTCTTACCTGTTCATCTTGACCAATAAAAATGTGGTACGTACACAGCTCCGTTAATACCTGCACGTGTTACAATAAAATATCCAATTAAATCATTAGTATGGTATGATAATTATGGTATGATATGCATGGTTATGGTATGGTATGATTTCGTTATGGTATGGTATGGTGTGATATTATTATGGTAAGATATGGTTATCGTATGGTATGATTTAGTTATGGTTAGTTATGGTATGATATGATTATATGATATGATTATATGATATGATTATATGATATGATTATATGATATGATTATATGATATGATTATATGATATGGTATGGTTATGGTATGGTATGGTTTTGGTATAATATGGTAAGATATTATGATATATGCAAAAAACTGATTGATAAGAACCGTACTGGAAAAATTCTAGCGTACAAATGAGGTCGGCGCATATCGTTAGGAACACGAAATAATCCAGGAAGAAAATCGTAATTTGAAACCTGAATGCAAAGTAAAATTTTTAGTTCATGATTTTGGTGTGAAAGAACACAACTTCACTTCCCTTCCATTTTAGAGAAGACTGTAGATATGAACGTAAATATTGCTTTCCAGAAAGTATCAAGTTTTTATCTTGCAGTGCCTCTGGAAAGTTCCTCAGAAGAACATCCAACACCTCCCATTCCAATTCCTAGAAAATGAAGAAAGTTGAACTTCAATCGAAACTTAATGCCAGATGATATATTATGATAGAAAAGTTTACCTGTTGTAAGCACACAAGAATAACATTCATCGCCTCGCTGTAAGGCAGTGAAACAATCCCGTTTGTCTTATCTTCTGCAGAACTAAAACAAAAATGAAAATGTATTACGCAAACAAGAAAAGGAATTTTGGAAGCAGAATACCTGACATACGTGGCACTATCGTCATTAACCAACCTTTTCTTTCAGAACAAACAAAATACGAAGTGAATTAAACTTTTCTACTTTTGTCTTGCACAAGGCCTAGACGTTGTCAGCTCGCAGACTGAGGAAACATTGAAGAATCTTTAAGAAAACACAATGTGAGACATCATAGAAAATCGCGAGAAATAAAATTGAATTTGCCTTACCGAAAGCCGTATTTCCGATGCACTATACGTCCGATAGCCATTGTCATAATGAGTTTTTATGTGGTACACTAATATATTGAATATTCGTTCGGCTCGTTCTTGAGGTTTACGAAACAATTTCATCTGCAAAAATAGAATGAAATTACTGAAAAGAAGCAAGTGTGGCATTAAATTACACTTATTTTTGTTCACGAAAATAACTTCATCACAATGAACGAATATGTGTGGACAATCTCTGCATGTCCTTCATTACCTTGAACAAGCGTACTAATCCTAATACAGCCTCTTTGATGTCTTTCTATGCTGTTTCATCCTGAGGCTGCAGCAACAAAGACAAATTACAGTGATTAGATGTAATTTTATGTCTCTAGATGTTCCTACATATACCTTGCAGTCTCTATAATTACCTTACATGTTCTTTACATGACGGCTTAACGTATCGTTTGAGAGGATCAACTGGACAGTGGCAATCTGGAATTGATAAATGAAATATATATCCTTTTACTTCACTGATGCGTTTGCATTCACGACCCCCGTGTAAAACGATCCAATTTGCGGATATATAGTTAGGTTCAGGTCAGGAAGCTTTCACTGATAAGAAAGAGTTTTCTATTGAAGTACAATATCAGCTCATCACGAATGAAGAGGGAAATTGGAGTGGAGAAATGAAACCGTCTGAAAATGATTGTATTGAGTACCTTCTCGATTATATGCAAAACATCGCAAACTTTCGGTGAATCAGAGGATTCAATAACATCGACCAGAAGCTGGACAGCTCGGATCCGCACAGAAATATCCCGATCTTTGACAATGTGGTCTAAATGTGACAACACTGAATTCTCAAGTATTTCTTCCTGTAAAAAACACGGAGTTATAAAACTAGAAAAAGATTCATAATATCGCTAATGTCTAGAAAAATGGACTAAAATTTATTCAAAGTACTAAAATTTTATACCTCATATAGTGGAGATAACGTTCCTAATATGTTACAAAGCACATTTAGAGCTTTAATTCGGTTGGCCGTCCTCTCTTCACATCTAAAAAAAAATTCCCATTAGGATAAGACTGAGGCTACATAGAAATACATCACGAACTTAAACAAAAATCAACATACCAAAATATTACATTTTTACATAACAAAATATAAAGAAAAAAGAAGACCACACACTTGAAGTATTTCTCCACCAAATCTTTAATATTTTCAAACCAGTTTTCGCAGTAAGGATGAAGAGACTGCGAACGATGAGAAACCAGGAGAATAACTGATGATTACTGCAAACAACGACATTTCATTTAGCTGCAAACAACGACATTTTATTTAGCTAAGTGGATTCCGTTAGATCTTCATATATTTTATTAATTTTGTCCTCAAAGAAAGTCATAAAATTGTTAGCTTAGATTCTCATCAGATTGGCACACAGGATATTGAGAATCAGGGGTATAATGTAGTAACTTTCCAACGGTTTTAAATAATTTCTTTTGGTCACTCCCATTATCTCTAACAATTTCAGAATAATAACGAGTACGACTTTCCTATAATAGCTCACTGACACGGCGACATTGCTGACTGTATTTTAGACGATCACAGGATTGTCTTGACTTACGCCATACCCGCT